TAAAGAGGGTAATCTTGAAAACTACGCAAAAAAACGGTTATTCGAATTCTCTGATCCAAATAAAGATATTAATCGTCGCAGAAAATGCTTTGAAATAATGGCTCTTTCTTCTAAAAGAACGGCTTAGAAATAGGACTTTGCCTGGCCAAATTTGTTGTTATTTAATAGTTCTGCATGGAATAGAATCCTGCAGCACATGAGTAGTAGACTTCTGGTGGGGATTCCTACTCCTATAGGGCACAAGTTTAGTTACCCAGTTCATCCTTTTGGGACTCTTTGGAAGACAATTTGTTTTTTTACTTAATAAATGTTATTTTATTTTGATCTAGGTATATATTATTTCATTCCCTGTCATGGATCCCCTTAAATGTGGATCAAAATTGTGTTCTGAGTGTTACAATTTCGATGTCCTTACACATTGTAGTCTCGGTTCATTATGAATGGAAATAGGAATTTGTTTGCACCCTGTTGAGTAAACAGCACATTTTCTATTACCATTAATAACCGAGAGAACATGTGTAGACACCGAATTTTGTGTACCCGAAGTATTTTGTACCTTTAAAAATTTAAAATTCCCGCTTCTAACTAGCCGATAATCTAGATACCTGTTTTTACCGTCAAAGCTTCCCGTTACTGACGGTCAGCCGGTTGTAGCGCAACACGGTTCCAAGTTTTAACATTATACCGCCACCTCTCTTATTTTACTTTCTCTATGACAGGTATTAGAAATATGAAATTATTTTAACTCGTCCGATCAATGGGAAACGTGGTTAAAATAAGGTTAAATTGAATTCATAGGTTAATTTCATTTAACAAAGTCAACTTAGCAATTCAAGCATAATATCCAGCCGCGTTGTTCTGAAAGTTAAAAAAGGACAAAACTGACGTAACCGACCCTTATTTTATTTTCACTATGTCCTCCACGTTTTGCACATGCTCAGAACTTCTTGGCCGAAAACTCGAAATTTTAGTGCCGTCAGTCGCCGGTCAGCCAGTTGCAGCCCTACCTGCATAACGCGGTAACAAGGACGTCCATATGATTGCCACCTCTCTTATTTTTTTTTTATTTTACTTACTCTATGATATGAACTGTGAATATGAACTTGCGTGACTCCGCCTCAATTCGGAACCATAGATAAAGACTGAAAGACAGATCACAGAGGTTATCTCTGATCTGTGGAAAGACACAAGTTTTTACATAACCCCGATATTACAGCTGTTTGACGTTTAGTGTGCCAAGTGCCGTCGACCAATGAAAAGCCGGGACCAGATCAGGCAATTAACCGCTCGTCTTGTCTCTGTCTCTGTTGTCTTCATCTATGGTTTTAGGTTATAAAAATGAAAATAACTTCGGACTGTGGGGTTTCGTCTTGATTTTCATTATTTCTGTAATAATAAAACATCTTTCTAATAAGCTGCCGACAACAAATACCTTCATTAATTCAACTTAATATATAATTGATATAATGTCTTATTTTGTCGGGTGGAAATATGGAGTCCTAGTTGGAGGATTCGTAGGTACCATTTTATTGGCTACATATCCCATTATAATCAGTCCAATGATCAATCCTGACAAATGGAGTATGAACTTTTAAAAGTTTTATGTATATTTATTTAATAAAATGTATTTGTGTTTACAGAACGGATTCAAGAGGACACGAGAAAGAATATTAAGCAAGAAGATATACAGCCAGGAAGTAAGTACGTTTATAAATTATAAACCATGTTCGCAATATTAAATCATATTTTCCTAGGCATCAAAAATTTAGGAGCGCATAAAATCTTCTTCATGTGTCGTTTCGATTCCGGAGGTTGGCTATCATCATTACTATTTTGATTCTGAAAACTGCAGCCCTAAATAGAAAAGCTCACGTGACATTTTAAACTATTTTCTCATATTCCTAAGCTATGACATTCTTTTCGCTCCGATAGATCTTTTCCCCAGGATTCTCCCTTAGATTATGAGTCGTAGAATCTCATATTTTGGACATCTCATGATGTGGCCTAAATATTTAAATTTTATTTTTGTTTTCATTTCCAGTAGAATCTCTGTATTTCCAGTAGGATCTCTCTATATCTTCATTCTTCTAAAAACCTCAACGTTGGTCGCATGTTCCGTCCATGATGTTCTCAACATGCTACAGTATGCCCACATCTGATTTTTATTCGCAATACACGTTGAGGGTCCAAGGTTACACACCGTACAACCGGGAACACGTAAAATTTGAGCATCCGAGTTCTGAGGTCCAGGCTCAGATCGCGGCTGCAGAGCAACTTTTTAATCTTCACATAGACACGGGCCTTTTCAATGGGAATCATTATTTCTGCGCAGTCGATGCTTGTACCTAGATAATTATACCTCTCGGCTCTTTCCAGCCTTTCGCCTTCCACATGCAGATGTTTATTTGGTGACAATCATAAAGTGAAATTCAGCTTATTTTGAAGGTCTTGTACGTTTTTGGCTAAAAGTCCTGTATCGTCAGCGTAACGCAAGCTGTTCAGTGGGATGCCGTTAACACATATTCCACCGTCTTCTCTTTTGAGGACTTTGGTGAAGATTTCTTCTAAATGGATGTTGAAGAGGAGTGATGAGAGAATGCACCCCTGTCTGATCTCAACAGCTTTCGTTAGTTCGGATTAGATGCGATCGGACACACTTTGGTTTAGATCAAAGCACGCCGCGTAGACGGCTTCCTTTGTTCCAACTTCCTTTCTAAAGCCGAACTGGATATTTCCTATACCTTCCTCTTGTTTCTTGTAAATCTTACGATGACTTGGAGAAAGATCTTTGAGTGTCGCTCATGACCCTAGTCGTACGGTGTTCTTTGTATTTTTTGGCATTATGCATTATGCTTGAGAAACGTTGATTGAAGCCATTCTTGTGGTATTATTGCCGTCTCATAGATCCTATTGACTAGAGAGCAAGGGCGTGCAATTAAATTTGATAGAAGGAAAGCAATTTATAAAATCTTACCTATTTATAATGCAATTGGATTCTTCTATCATTTTCGCAGACTCGTCTAATGTCATTTGAGAAACGGGGATGCTGCGAGATTTTCCTAACACGATTGATTTCAATTGCCAAAAGGAAAACACTAGAAGCACGATCTTGTCCGGTCGAGTTTCGCAAGTAAATCTTTAGCCATTTTAGCGTTGAAAAACTACATTCTACGGAGGCGTTAGTAGCTGGACTTATCACACACTAACTCATATAATTTCACTACCACCCCTACCATTTTTTTCAGAAATGTTAATAACTTACTGGCATTATTTTTTCTCTCAATTTCTTGAGTCTCATACAAAGCAGTAAGTTTCCAACGTGACAAAATCATATCAAAATATTGTCCATAATGACGAATCAAAGATTTTAATTGTTTTTCCGGAAAATATGATTCTTTGAACGTAATAAAATTACACAATTCGAGAAAGTCTAGATCATCAAAATTCTTGAACTTGTTCTCCATTTTATACAGTAAATCCAAAATTATCCAACATCACCAGTGCGTATTCGTTTTCTTTTTGGCTCAAAACTTCTGCATCATATTACTCCAGCATTTTTCAGCCATTTCTTTTTTTATCAATAGAATTTTTAAATTCGAGAATTGTTTTTACACATAACCCAATATAATTAATAATAATAAATTGAATACGTTATCGGAGAGCGGAAATATATCCAAAAAAACAAGGATGAAAAAATTAACGTTAAAATTATTCTTTAAACTGTCTAAAAATCCTCTGGAGCTATTTATAGTTTCTGTATCCCAATTGGCACTATTCTCGAAAACACTTTCAAATAGTTCAATTAAAGAATCGCGATATTCGGACATTGTCAATACTAGCCTTCCGTTGTAATTCCATCGCAAAATAGCAACTTTCTGTCTTCTCTTCACGATTGTATCCAAAGCTTGTGTACGTTTAGTCCATTTTGAAAAGAAAGCAGCCATCCCACTCAAAGTTGTTAAAAACCTTACCTTTCTTGTTTTGCATTACCGATTGAGACAAAATTAAGTTTAATTTGTGGACAAAATAGTGTATAAATATCGCACTGGGATGCGTTTCTCGGACTTTCACTTGTAGCTCCCCTAAATGCCCAGCTATTATCGGAGCCCTGTCTTTATTCATTTTATGAATCAAGCTTTATCAATTAATTTGCCATCAGCATTTATATTTTTTTAAACTTGACATAAAATCTTATACCGTGCGTCTGCCGTTCTATGTTCTATAACATTGATAAAACTTGAAAATCTTTCATGCATCGCCGTCAACATCTACAAATCATACTGTAGCAGAGCTGAATCGTGTCTGTATGACTTCCTCGTTTATTTCGTTTGAAACATCAGTCGAAATAGCAGAAATTAAATAATTCTGAATTCGATTTTGTGTACCTTGAAACACGCCAGTGTTGCAAATGTGCTTTCAAACAAGGGTCATATTTCGATACTAGCGAAACCAGATCTACATAATTGACTCTATTTGCTGATGAATTTGATTCGTCGTGACCTCTAAATCCAAGTTCATGTAGGCTATGAAAGCACACAACGTGAATAAGCCTTTTCAGCACGTCTCGATTTTTAGCAACTAATTCATTATGTTGCTCATGGTTCACTTGTAACGATTTATCCAAAGAATGTTCAATTCGTGTTTTCTCGAATTGAACTCTCATGCAAGTCTTTATTTTAGAAGTAAAATTGTTCGTCTCATGCTTCGCTGCAGCTTTATTTATTATTATGTTGTGGTTGATTAGTGACCGTGATGATAATCAGTAATTTATTATGTTCGATTTTTCAATAAAACTCTGAGAACTGAACCGTTTGTCCAACAAGAAACACGCCACACATTTACACAACTGTGCAGTCTTAACACTTAACTCATCACTTTTCGAAAAATCAGTCGAAGATGCCAACCAAGGTTGGAGAATTCCAAGGAAGGAGAATGCGTACTTAATCCACACAACTGCTTATTCAGCCGTTAAGGGCTCGTAACTTGACTTGTAGATTTTTTCATTTCACCCTGGAAATTTCTTATGTTAACCATATATTATTTTCTTTTCTTGATGCTCTCGAGGTTGTAGGAGTTATGCTATACATTGTTTATTCTTTCTTCTGATTGCGACCTTTGGAAATATTGGAGCCGTATTGCCATGCCTATTTTGTGATGGAGCCCCGACCTTTTTAGTTAGGATATTGCAGTTTATTATGAAATGAATAAGAAAATTATGATTTTTCTAAAGGAAGTGATGCTTCCATGAAGCGCACGCCCCTGCTGGCGAGGTTGGTTATAGCATCTAAATGTCGCTCTAAATCAGCTTACATACTTACACCTGCAGGCAAGTTGTCAGAGCCAGGGGCTTTATATTTTTGGCTGATGTTAATGCTGTTTGGACTTCTTCTTTTAAGATAGATGAGCCAGTGTCATTGTTGTCGTTGGTAGTTATTACTTGAGAAGGATTTGATGTATTCTTCCCATAGGGTCAATTGGTTTTCAATATCCAGCGCACCCCACGAGAATGCGTTACAATCTAAATCTACCAATCAAATCTGGAGGTTTAAATCTCTTTAGTCTTTATTAGTATTTCAGGTTGGCTGTTCATCATTAGTTCTCAATTGGTTTGGATGTACACTTTGTCTTTGTATTTGGCGCTAAATGTACTGATTTCCTCTTTGACTGTTGGGATGTTAAGATCTTTTCGGATAATCTCATTTGGGGAAAACCATGGTGCATTCACCATATTTCTTAGCATCTTTGCTTGTAATCTCTCCAAAATTGCTATATTTGAATTGGATGCTGAACCCCACAGTTGAATTCCGTATGTTCAGACGGGTTTAATTATTGTTTTATAAATAAGTAGTTTATTTTCTAGTAAAAGTTTCGATCTTTTACCTATCAGCCAGTACATTTTCTGATATTGTAGGTTGAGTTGCTTCCTTAGAAGATAACTCACGGTCTCTGTTTGTGGAACCTGTTTGCTATTCAAGGTTATTGGAGGACATGTTCCATATCGCAGTGTGAATGTCACATGGGCAGTCTTCGGCTCGGTTGCCTTTATTCTCCATGTCTTTAGCCAGTTTTCAATTTTTGTCAGGTTTATTTGTAGTAGTTCTGAAGCTATTATAGAATTTGTATGTGATGTCATGATACCAGTGTCATCCGCAAATGTGGCTGTCGCATTTTGCTCCATTGTTGGCAGATCTGAGGTGTACAGGAGATATAGAATCGGCCCCAAAACACTACCCTGAGGCACTCCTGCTTTACTGAACATATTCCTGTGTACTCATCTTGAGATTTTACGAAAAAGTGTCTATTGCTAATGGAGGTTTTAATTAGTTGGTATAAGTCCTAAGGAAACATCTTTTTTATTTTGTATAGCAATCCAGGGTACCAGACCTTATCAAATGCCTGCGATATATGAATACTGCAGAACAATATTTTTTCTCTTCAAAATCTTGACTAGTTTTCTTGACTATTCTATGGACCTGCTCTAGGGGCGAGTGCTTTTCTCTAAAAACAAATTGATGGTCGGGTATTAGTTTTTTTGTTTGAATAATTTCCTTCAGCCGCTTCGTTATTAGTTTTTCGAATACCTTTGATATTACCGGAAGCAAGCTTATTGGTTTATAAGAAGTCACTTCTTCTGGGTTTTTTTCCTGGTTTTGGTAACATGAGCACTTGCGCCACCTTCCATTAAAGAGGAAAGTAACTAAGTCGTAATATAGCATTAAAAAGAATTGTAATTAACTTGATTGTTTTGATAGGTAGTTCTAGCATAACTTTACCGGTTATTAAATCATAGCCTGGGGGTTTTTTGGGATTAAGTTCTTTCAAAATAACCGTCATTACTTCTTTTGTTTTGAGTATTTTCATAGCGAGGTCCATTTAATGTGGTGCTTCTAGGAAATTGGTAATTTTACTTTCCTCGTCGTTTGTTATTTCTGAGATTAAATACTTTTTCAAGATGTACCGCAAAGATGTTTGCCTTTTCACTATCTGTTTTGGTCCATTTTCCCTGTTCTATTCTGATTGGCGGGGTGTGAGTTTGCGGCCGGTTCATTCTTCGCGTTGCCTTCCATAATGAATACTCTGTAGTCTCTGTTGCAGTTAGACTTTCCAGATGTTCTTGTATTGCTCCATTTTTTTTATCGTTTAGTAGGTCTTTTATAGCTTTGTTGAACGTCGCTTTGTCGTGTGGAGATCTTGTTATTTGCCAGTTATTTCGTAATTTACGCTTTTCTGCAATTTTGTATTTAACTGTTCTCGAGCAGGACTTGATTTTTCTTCCTGTCTCAAATTTTGGGGTAGGTTCCCAGGCAACTTGTTGCATCGTTATGTTAATTCGTTCGTTCAGTATGTTTCTGAATTCGTTCCAGTTGGTTTTATTATTACAAAGTCATGGAGGTTTTTGTTTTCTAGTTACGTGAGCTGAATGTCACTACTACAGGGGAGTGGTCAGATGATAGATCCAGGCACGATTCAGCTTTTATATTATTTATTGGTATTCCTCTGGTTACACAGAAGACTATCAGATCAGGAATTTATCTGCGGTCTAACTATTGTTAGCGTTACTTCCACCATTTGATATTTTGAAATTATAGCGAGAAATTAAAAATTAAGCCGCTTTTTATAACGACACTTTTATTTTCAGACATGAAAGTGTGGACAGACCCCTTTGATAGAAAGAAAAGTACAGATGAGGCTAAGTAGTGTATTTTGTATATAGTTAACCGTAATTTGTACATATGTTTTATGGTAGTGTATATGTAGTAATAAACATGTTGACTAATTAGCCAATCTTTTGGAATTCTTCTTCTGTTTGAATACCCGTCTTTTGAAATTTTACACTTTTAAAGCAAAACTGTTTAGCTGTTTTGCTTTAAAAGTGTTGTGCAAAGCTGTTAGAGTACTTGAAAATAATGTTTAACAATAAAAATTAAAGTTTCTAGAGTTAAATTTTAATTATTATTGGTATAATTTAATTTTTATAATAAACACTTTAAATGAGCATCAGTCTTATTTAAAATAAAGTTATTGCCAACTTTAACGTAGTTGCCAAAATAAATACTCAAGCATATAGTTATTATTTGTTACTATGGAAACAATGATGTATGCTTATACTATTTTCCGTGGCTAACTGCAAGCAACTAAATTGAAAAAGTATAAATTGATCGCAGACACTTTATTTTCGAAAAAAACCTACGGATGTGATATATCACAGAAATCGTAATAAAATGCTCTATTCAGTAATGCAATAATCAAGGTTGGTTGCCATTAAAAAAAAACGCAAATTTGTGTCATGTCAAAAATTACAGTTATTTTGGAGAAATGTATTATGCTATTTTGTTTGGAATTCAGTTTCCTACAAGTTTTCTATTTAATGTTTTCGTGTCAAATTAATATCAACGGAACTAGGAGTAATCTAAAAATTGACCATAAATAAGTTTTTCCCAAATATCTCTTGACAGCTGTCAAATTTTAGAAAAATAAAATTGGTTTCGAATAGAGCATTCAAAACTACAATTATTTGTCCATTTAACCTTTATCGTAACTGCTATAGTTTCGAAGATCCCTGTACTATTCATCGAAAAAAACTAACCCTGTATAGCAAACTAGAGTTATTTTCGGACCTAGAATTCGTCGCTAAAATAATGTCCCATCCTCATGAAACACATTGTATAGGTGCACTAGTAGGTTTTGATTGGTTATAATATCGTTTAAAGAAGCACGACCTGAATTATTATTAACGAGGGATAAATCCTATTTAATATTACTTTTCGTGCAAGTTATATTTCACTGAACAGGAATGAAATTACGATATGTACAAAGGAAATCATTCTAATCAAAAATGGAAAGAAGGAAGCAGGGGGGTGTACACACTGAAGAAAATCCAATCAAATGATAATGTTTTTACATCTTTTTCAATTCGTCTCTTTTGATTGGGTTAATCAAAAACGCATTTTAAGTTTGAACCTTGTTTATTTTTTGTTCATATACTCACTCGTAATGGGCTTATTAATATTTTTCATATTATTCAATTTGTGTCTACCGATTAAAATCTGTCGTCATCATCATCAACGTCCAGAAAGACTTCGAAACCCTCAGAATGGCAAATACCCTCTGCACTAAATGCATATTTGTGGAACGTACCATCGAAACACAAAGCTAAAACAGATTGGAAGTAAGTATTGAAATATATCACCTTGATAAAATAGTCTAAATTCCCCTATAAACCATTAGACTGATTTTTTAGAAAATACAATAATTCTTTTATTTGAACAACTTACCATAAATTGTGTTATTTGGACCAAAAGCACAAACACAGGCCGACTCTGCAGAGACAGTAAAATTCGTTAACGCCCATTGAGAATCGCCATATTTTCCTAAAGTTCCTATAAATGCCGTTGGAATTCTGCGAATAAGAAAATACACATTTATATTATGGGAAAATTGCAATATTGCAGTACATTAGAAAACTATACTTACGCAGAGAGTCTCTTGTTTAAATTTGTGTCTTTAATAGCAAATATATGAACTGTTCCTTTATCACTTGAGCAACATAGGAAGTCAGAGTTAGTACTAAAGTTGATGCTGAAATCGGATTTTCATAATTGATTATTGCGCAACATAGTTTTTGTACATTATGCTCTCACTACTAGTGGAACATTAATACAACTAATTTAATTATTGTGTGAAAATGTTGTGACATACGAGGGTCGTTTGATAAGTCAGTGACTTTTTGAACTTTCCGCGCAGTAACTTTAACTTGAATTCAACACTACTCCCGTCAACTGTTCGTCTGCTAGTAGATTGCTGTGAAATTTTGAGCCCGCTATATGCCATTTAGAGCCATTTCACACGGGCCACTCTGCAGCGCTTCTCAATGGCGCATCTGAGAAGCGCGTTTTGAAGGTACATTGATTTACATGGAGCTATTCACACGGGCGCGACTAAAACCGGACCAGCGATTTAGCAGCTCTTCTCTGGCGTTTAGCGGTTGACTACCGCCGAGAAACGCGTCAAGAAGCAGCGCCACTGATAGCGGCGATTCATTGGTTCAAATGCTGGCGTTCTCAAGAGCCACTTCAGTCTGCTTCATGTTAACGTGCGCTCCTCAGCAGTGCCACCGAGAAGCGCTGCAGAGCGACTGTCATGAATTAGGCTACGAACTGCTACCCCACCAAGCATATTCTCCAGATTTAGCCCCCTGCGCCTATTTCCTGTTTCCATTCCTGAAAAAATGGCTAGGCGGTAAGAGATTTGCGTCCAATGAAGAGGTTATCATTGAAACCGCAATCGAAGGGATAAAAAATTGGACCGAAAAAATAAGACGCTGGACTAAGCGTATCGAGCTAAAAGGAGATTATGTTGAGATGTAAAACGTTTTTTGGCCGAAAAAAAATTATTTCATTCAAAACGTCACTTACTTCTCAAACGACGCTCGTAGTTTGTTCTACGAAGTATAATTGAAAAATAATAGAAAATTTACATTTTCTAATTAGATATGTATTTATAGAGTGTTTTGTTACGTTAAGTATGTAGCTAGAGTTGAGGAGGTGATTATCTGAGCGATTTTAAGAAGAACAGTTTATCTGAGGTACTGTACGGAAAGCATATACCCGGTGTTCCCGTGCAGGTTGAGCGACCCATCAGGCGCGTCCCCAGGTGGCGGATAGGGGGAAGTCTGGTCAGATACGCCTGACCAGTTAGCGACGGCCATAAGTGAAAGTCGTGGAATAAAACCCACGGATCTGGATCGAAAGCCGTCGCCGCGGACCAGCTCGTGGCACAAACCGCAAACCGCCTG